AGGACAAAGTTCCTCATGCTGAGGACTAGGTTCTTCACGCTGAGGACAAGGTTCTTCACGCCGAGGACAAGGTTCCTCACGCTGAGGACAAGGTTCCTCACGCTGAGGACAAGGTTCGCACGCTGAGGAGAAGGTTCTTCACGCCGACGACAAGGTTCCTCACGCTGAGAACAAGGTTCTTCCCGCTGAGGAGAAGGTTCTTCACGCTGAGGACAAGGTTCTTCACGCTGAGGACAGGGGTCTTCACGCTGAGGACAAGGTTCTTCACGCTGAGAACAAGGGTCTTCACGTGGAGGACAAGTTTGTTCACGGCGAGGACAAGGTTCCTCGCGCTCAGGACAAAGTTCTTCAAGCTGAGGACAAGGTTCCTCACGCTGAGGACAAGGTTCTTCACGCGGAGGACAAAGTTCCTCACGCTGAGGACAAGGTTCTTCGCGGTGAGGACAAGGTTCTTCACGCCGAGGACAAACTTCCTCACGCTGAGAACAAGGTTCCTCACGCTGAGGACAAGGTTCCTCACGCTGAGGACAAGGTTCTCACGCTGAGGAGAAGGTTCTTCACGCCGAGGACAAGGTTCCTCACGCTGAGAACAAGGGTCTTCACGTGGAAGACAAGGTTGTTCACGCCGAGGACAAGGTTCCTAGCGCTGAGGACAAAGTTCTTCAAGCTGAGGACAAGGTTCCTCACGTTGAGGACAAGGTTCTTCACGCGGAGGACAAGGTTCCCCTCGCTGAGGACAAGGTTCTTCGCGGTGAGGACAAGGTTTTTCACGCTGGGAACAAGGGTCTTCACGTGGAGGACAAGGTTGTTCACGCCGAGGACAAGGTTCCTCGCGCTGAGGACAAAGTTCTTCAAGCTGAGGACAAGGTTCCTCATGCTGAGGACAAGGTTTCTCATGCTGAAGACGAGGTTCCTCATGCTGAGGACAAGGTTCCTGACGCTGAGGACAAGTTTCCTCACTCTGAGCACAAGGTTCTTCACGCTGAGGACAAGGTTCGTCACCTTAGAACAGGATTCATCACGCTGAGGAAAAGGTTCGTCACGCTGAGGACAAGGTTCCTGATGCTGAGAACAAGGTTCTTCACGTGGACGACAAGGTTTGTCACGCTGAGGACAAAGTTCTTCTTTAAAAAAATTATATTTTGTATGGAGTGAGAGGAAGGGCGCATGACTGGTTTAGGTCCTATCTGTCTAATCGTACCCAGTATTGTCAAGTTAATGGCGAACTGTCTGAACCACGAACAATAATTACTGGTATTCCGCAGGGCTCAATTCTTGGACCCTTACTCTTTCTTGTTTACATAAATGACTTGCCAAATTGCTTAAAAAGTGCGGATTGTGACATGTTTGCCGATGATACTCAATTAGGAACGGCAAATAAGGATGTCAAAGTAATTTTTGAAACGTTAAATGATGACCTAGCAAATATTTCAGTTTGGATGGCGGCCAACAAGCTGAGCCTGAACAAAAGCAAAACTGAATATATGTTTATTGGATCACATCAAAAACTTAAACAGTGTAACTCCGAATTGCAAATAAAAATTGGAGATACACCTATTCAACGAGTAACCGTTACTAAATCACTGGGTATGATGGTAGATGAGACCTTAACCTAGCATTCTCAAACAGATCTAATTACAAAGAAAGTGAACAAGGGTCTTTACGTCCTAAGACGATTAAGAGATTTTGTTGATGTAAGGACTCTAGTAACAGTTTACAAAACTTTAATTCAACCACACTTTGATTACTGCTCGCAAGTATGGCGTTGTCTTGGAATTACCCTTCAAAACAAGTTGCAACGTTTGCAAAATAGAGCAGCACGTATCATTACAAAGCGTGGGTATGAATTTAGATCAGTCGATATACTTAAAGAATTAGATTTACCTAATTTAAGTCTCAGAAAACATAATCAATTATGTACTACTATGTATCAGGTAAATAATAATATGGTGCCTGATTACCTAATTGATTTATTCACGAAAACCAGTACACTTCATAATCATCAAACTAGGCAGGCTGAATTTAACTTTGCACTCCCGAGGCCAAGTACCAACTTTTGTAAAAAATCATTCTCGTACAGAGGAGCTGTAGCTTGGAATGATTTATTACCTAATATAAAAAATATGGGTTCATTGTCAACCTTCAAAAGGGCTCTAGTGTCAAATAGTCGTAATAATTCTTGATAATCAATTTATCTTTTTTCTTTTTCTCTTCGATTTTATTGTATTAACTTAATAAAATATTTTTATAATTGCATGTAATTATTCATACATATATAGCACGGCCTATTGGAAGATCACATCTTGTAAATATTTTAGTTTTTGTCTTTGTGAAATAGTACCGTGGGTAAATAAAGTTTGATTGATTGATTGATTGATTGACTCTACTTTCCTTCTTTCTTTCTCCTATTTCAAGATTATGCTTGTAAACAACTACTGTACTCAAATATTGCTACAATTTTTCCCCAACATGTCATGAGAGTATGGGATTTATATTGGCTAGTGGAAATTTAAAAAGTTGTTTGTGTAGCTAGTTTGGAGCTACAATAACAGTTTGAGCAGATATTTCAATCTTTATTAAAAATTACTGTTGTACTATTATATATTATCATAGTGTTTGTGTTAACTATGAAGTCATTTAGCTAACAATAGTAAATTCACACAATTATATTTTAATTTTTAACAATAACAAATATTTTAATAAAAGTTTTTAAATATGAGCCTCATCAGTTTATCCCCGAGCCGACGTCGCGAATCGCCGTGCGAGGGTACTAATTCCCCCCGGCTATTTACACCCGGGGAAACGAAAGCATTAGCGAAGTCTAAAATTCATCAATCATCGCGGGCGCTGACCAACGAAGGGCGATCTTGAGTGGGTGGTCATCCTTATCTCAAAGATATGGCAAGCAAGATTTCAATTTTAAAAGACATATATTTGGAAAATCGTTTCATATACAACAAGCTTGAAGCAATTTTGTTTGAAGAAATGAGAAGAATTGGTTTACTGCGGGAAATCGGGAAATATACGGCAAGTTTGCTTTGAATATTTTTAAAATGTTTACGAATTTTGTTGCTTTAACTTTTAAGTAATAAAAAACATGAACTATAGAAGCTCTAAGTTTCATAAATTACAGTTTAATTTGAGAAAAAATCTTAACATGTAAAGGCGACCAAATTGATTTGAAGACTGAACTGAAATTACCTAACAATTTTATTTTATTTGTATTAAAATTACCATGTTTGGTTAAGTAAAAATAGTTTATCGGCAAAATGTAGGTTTACTTGAATGAACATTTCAAAACATTTTACGAAGCGTTTCAAGTTCAATTTTACATTAATTAAATCAAAGCTCACAAAATGCAAAATAATATACCTACAGTGTGTATTTCGGAAATTTATTGTTGTATAGTTAAAAGTACGAATCTTTCAACTATTTTGCAGTTTTGTACAAAATAATTATATGAAAATAAAAATTTAAGAATATCGTGTTGTCATGGCAACACTTGAGCGCGAGCTTGCGTTCAGTGCTGGTCATTTCTGAATACTTCATATTTAATGTATGGCAATATTGGCGAGGGGTTACTGCATGCATGTATTTATAGTACTAAAGTAAAATACCTACAACACTTACAGTTCGCAGCTGTGTTGAGGAAACCCATGGGCATTCCACTCACCAAAATAGAATGAAATTATTAACAGTCCCTTTTTAAAACTATATGCTAGTGCAAAATCCTTTGTAGGGGATACCAACAATTTGGTGATATAATCTTTTCGTCTGCCGGACAATTTTCTTCCTAGGTAGCCGAGAACTTCTCTTTTGCTTAGCAATGCGAGAAATAATTGCACAGATTCGAGTGAGGTGAAAGAAACGACAATTCCCTTTGCGTTTCTTGCTACATAACACCTTGGTTCACTAAACATAGGACTTTGAGCCTTTTCCGGCGCTCGGGTGAAGACAATAAACATTTCCACGGGTATATGACGTCTAATCTCAGAGTAATGAGGCCTTCGAATAACCTACGACTAGGCAATCGTCTAAAAATCGCTTCAAGCCATAATAGCGATTCCTGATTGTACACCACACCGGCATTTATGCTTCTTCCATACAGCAAGCGAGATATTCCAGGCTCTACTAAACATTGTTCTTCTTTTCCATATTCTTCCGAGTTAGTTTCGTGATTTTTGGGCATGTTTTGACTGTCATAATCTTCGAAAATGTCGTGTATTACTTCTTGCACGCTTAATTTCGCCACCATGATTGAACTGGTTTCCATAGTTACAATGTCAATGGGAAGTACTTCATCTTGCAATGAATATTATGGTTGCTAACCGCTGATCGCATGTACTGACAAAGTATCGATTTCAAGATACTTCCTGCCCGCCGTGTCAAGCCAAACCAGGCTGTTTCTTAGAAGAACAAGACGCTCTATGGAGCGTTAACTCGCTGGGGCTATACAACGGACGCACATTACTGTTAAGATCTAAATGCTGATTTCCACTGTTGCGTTTTTCGCACGCACGTACACGCACGAAAAATTTTGAATCCTTTTATTTTTAAATATTTTACAAATAAGTTAACAAATGCATACTAAAACTTGCGGAACAGTAAATTCAGTTGCTTTATTTATTTGGTTATTTTATAAGTAAACGAAATCCGTTTCCGGAATCCGCGTTTTATCCTCATTTGCGGAATCCGATCCGGAATCCGCTTCCGCAATCCGCGTTTTATCCCAATCCAATAAAACTTCCTGCGTTTATGCCCACAAGTAAAGTTATATTTTATAGTATGCTACATATTTCTTCTGTCGGCCGGCAGTTTAAAACGTTCAAAATAAAATATTTGGGGGCTTTTGGGCTCAAAATATTATCAAAATGAAGAGAGAAGTGAGACGAATCCACTGGTATACGGCCGAAAAAGAGAAAACCAATGATGCCAAAGTTATCAAGGATCAAACGTATTGCATTTTTTATAATTTGAGCGATTTCTCAACAAATAATACACTTCGCTTGGCTTGCAAATACAAAGGCCATAAATCGCTAGAATACTGTTGTCAGTTGTTTAGTAATACAGTTGACATCCGTAAGTACAATTTCTCATTCGTAAATACAATTTCTTACGCTGAATCGAACGGTGGTATTTTTATCCTTATTGCGCCATTTATAGGTAATACAAATACAATACAAGGTCGCACCATGGATTGTAAAATAACAATGTCAACAATACAATTTCGCTTGATTTTCAAAGGCAATATGCTTCTCATAAAGTAGTTATTTATTAAAACTACGTTGTGCAGTTTAAGTTATAACCATTTACCTTGAAATTGTCTTTGGTTCGTTTATATTCAGATCCAGTATATTATGCCTGGTCTTGCACGGGAATTCAATGAACCAAATTTCGAATTTTCAGAGTCGTGCACCAAGAAATACGCATTAAATAAACTAGCAAGAATGTCCAGAGTTAGACACAATGCAAAATGCATAGGAAACAGGCACAATTGGTTCAAAATTTTCACGAAATTGTTTGAAACATTTTGCCCGCTGAGGCCCCACTCCACGAAACACGAAAGGCCCCGCCATTTTGAAAAGGATCAAGCAGCTCATTAATATTCTATTTTGTGGCTATCGACGATTGGAGATGCCGATCCAAGAACAGAGCCGAAACCTATACTCGTCTGGGGCACAGGTGCCCCAGCGAGTAATAAGCTAAGGGTCGAGTAGAGAAACGCTTGGCGGAACTGTGCTATTATGCGTACAAGTCGTGTATTGGGATTGTTGAAAACAAACGAATAGAACGCCTTCGACAAGTGAAGAAATTGGCAATACATTGTCATGGGATCCAAGATGTAAAGCACCTTTTATCTGAAATAAACACTTTTCAAGAGGAAAAAGCACAATTGGAAGAGCAGATTGAAAATCTCGAAGGTGCGACAGTCTTCTAAAAGATGTTTCAGAACTCAAGCAAAAAGCAGATCGTGACGCTGAGCTTGAACAAGCCTTCGCCGAAGCAGAGGATAAAAATAAAGAAATCAGGGCCATAGCTAAGCATGCATAGTTGGGGGGGGGGGGGGGG